ATTACGGCTACCGTAGTCAGGGGCGTCGCCGAAGTAATAGTGGTAAACACCGGTACTGTGCTTACTCCTAGTCCAACACCACTTGTGTGTATAAAGACCCCAAAATGGCACCTTTCAAGAGACACGCTTACGACGCTGAGTTCAAACTCAAGGCTGTCAGCTACGCAGCCGAACATGGGAATAGAGCAGTAGCGAGAGAATTCAATATTAATGAATCAATGGTACGGAAGTGGAGGAAGCAAGAAGATGACCTGTGCCAAGTAAAGAAGACTAAAAAGAGTTTCCGAGGGAACAAAGCGAGATGGCCACAGTTAGAGGACAAACTCGAACAGTGGGTTGTTGAACAGTAGTAGCTTCTATTCTATGCGCCTTATAATCCGGTGCGCCCTATATATAAAAACAGTTCTAAAATAGGCCATTCATTGAAGGTGCGCCTTATAATCCAGTGCGCCTTATAGTGCGGAAAATACGGTACTTATATAGCGCTTTTCTAGTCTTTCCGACCACGCAAAGCGCTTTCACACTACTTGTCATCATTCACCCATTCAGACCAGGGGCTAAGTGACACCTGCCTATCAGATTCTATCACATTCATACACCGTAGGCACAGCTACGGGAGCAATTTTGGGGTTAAGTGGCAAGGACACATCGACATGCGGCTAGCGGAGACAGGGATCGTTCCTCTGATTGAAGGACCCTGCTCTCCACTTATAGCCACAGTTGCCAACTGCAGTACACCATAATACTAGAACCAGTGGTAATACAAATGTATTCTATGTCTTGTATTATTATACTGACATTCTCCTGCCGTGATGCTGGTGGATTTAGTAGACATTCATGGTCCCCAGAGGATGAATCCTAATAACTTTGATGATCCCTATTTCTCTGACACCATTGAAAGGTCAAAAAGGATGAAGGTGCAAAATTAAACAAAAATCAATAATGCTAAGAATTGTAACTGTGCCAAAAAATATTCACAGGTATTCAATCTCGAGAAAAAGCAGATTTTTTATTTTTTTTAATTCACTTTTTCTTGTTGCTGTCTTTCTCTGCCTCCTTTGCAACAAACGCACTGCGGTCTAATCACAGCATTAACTGCAGTCGTTGCTGATTATTTGGTAAAAGGACTCTATAAAGCACCTTTCTAGGCTTTACACTGCTTGTCAACATTCACCCATTCACACACATTCATACACTGATGGCAGAGGCTGCTATACCATGCAAGCTGCCCACCTGCCCATTAGGATCTAATCTAAATACCCATTCATACACACTATGGCCTTTTGGAGCAATTTGAGGTTCACTATCAAGACCTTCTAAATCCAGACATCGAGAAAAAAACTATGTTTGGCTTTGTGGGTTTGTGCAAGCTTAGGCAGGGAATTTCATAAGGATTCAGGTGGTGTCTTGAATCTAATTAGCGGGCATGTGTGTCATGGCTTATTGGGTTATGTCTCTGGAAGGCATCACGCCGTTACAGCTGATGCAACCACCCTACATGATATTTCCAGGCGGCAGGAAGACATAAAGCCTGTTTCTCACTGCCAATTTACTTCAGTCCCTCTTTGTATCATTTGTTGGCTTCATTTAACCTTATTAGGTTCACATGGACTGTGGTTGCTGGCAATTTGGCAACGCTTATGAAGAAACCTGCGCTGTGGAGATAAGAATATGTTCAGCTTCCACAGGAACAATTTGTTATTGTCCACTGAAATAAAGCCAGTAAAACAGGGAATGTGGAAGAGAGAGGGTGACAAAGGTGGAGGAAAAAAATAAAGCCATTCAGTCGTCTCCATTTCCCTTTGTCTTGGGTCGTGGCTGATTGTACAGCTTTCATCAACAGGATGTGGCACTTTTCTATTCAGACAGGAGAACATGTGATCCGTCCTTCTATTCTCAGCCTTTCTCTCCACCTCTATTGCTCTTTACATTGTCCAAACCCACTAGGTAGGCTTTCTAGTTATTTTCCCTCTCAGCTGAAATAATTGAAATGTTTTGCTATACATCTCAGCTGTTTTTAAAGCTTTCCAATCCAGGTCTCCGAATGACAACAATTACAACCATGGACTTTTAACCCTTAACCTTTCAAAGCTGTAAGAGCATCCTTTAGCTGAACCCAAGTCTCTTCAATGCATTTAAAAGGAACATTATATAGTTTATGTTCTGTACCAATACCTACATGCAGATACTCAAAACCTTTCTTGAAACCTTTGCTCTTACTCTTCAGGAAGAAGTTGGGCAAACAGGCATATCAACTTGGCAAACTCATGTTTGGAAGTATAATTGGACAGAGACAAACGCTATTTTTGTTCATTTTTGGCACAAAAAAATGGTTGTAAAAGGGTCATTAATAATTCGTAGTAATTTGAAACAAACCAATCGCAACAATACAATAAATACAATTACGATCTGCAGTGATTGAAATCAGATTATTGTACGCTGTACTATAATAAGTTGCGTGGCTGCTGTGAGGCAAGTCATAACATCACTGAAAACGTTCTGAAAATGAAGGGAATTAAAAATATATATTGAGCTCATTTAATTCCTGAATATAAAAACATGAACTCTATGTGACACCGGTTCTTTTTTTAAGGCCTGCCTGACATTATGTAACTATTATTGCTTCAGTATTTTACTGGGAAAAACAGATCAAGCCTTTCTTTCCAGTCCACATATTCGTCTCGTGCTTTAAATCAAGTCAAGAGTCCAAATCTTAGTTCAGTCCTCTCTTCTCAGGAGAGGACTTGTGCGTGTGCGTCTGTGTGTCACAGGTTACAAATGAACACGAGAATGATCCCATACAGGTGCTTACTGAGCAAGGGACAAGTCTAATTAACTTTTCAAATGGTTCCCAGGTATGATAAAACACATCTTATTCACGTTCCTCTCGGGATTGAGTCCCTCCTCGGTTTATGAGACCACTCAATCCTGAGACATCAGCCCCATATACCCCTCAATCGAATGAATGGGATGTGCTGAAGTGCCATAGCGCCATAGGAGAAAGATTGTTTGAATCAGAACATGGAGATGAAAGTGTTAGAGGATTAATCATCTGGACTCTTGAAACCCTGCTGCATTGGAAGGAGATGTTATGAAAAAAGGAATTAGAAGGATTGGCCACGTTACACACTCATTCTTAATTTCCAGATGAATATATAACATGCAGCATACATTTGAGGTTAATCCTTGAGGCTGTTTGGCTTGTGCTCTACGACTTACACCAGCATCTTCACCATTGACATAATAGCTTCAGAAAATAACATATGGCCATGTGTTATTCTGTAAGATATGTGATGTACTGTGAATGTTGTATATGGACTTATAATAGACATATGAATACATTGGGGTCCAATTGACTCGATGAGCTCTCACAATGCGTGTAAGGATGCGTAAAATATGATGTCACCCAC